TATCAAACGTTCGAGGACGATAGCTTAAAAAGTACTTGATGCAATGGATCCTCTATGTCATACAGTAAACGTTAGCTCGCAAGCTTAAAAACTGCGATAAGAATCATTTTAAAAAAACACGAATTTTAACGCAGATGATGGCTCATATCTTTGTAAATTGTTAATATTGAAAATTCAGAAGCTGACTAGGAAATACTGAAATGTAAAGTAAAGCAAAGACTTAATAGAAAAGAACAGAATTACGGAAAGACATTTGAGAAAAAAAATGAGAATGTTTTGTAGACTTGTAAAAAGGATGCATACATTGAGATCCACCGTTAGTCCAGAAATTAGCAATTGTGAAATGCATATAATTAAGAAAAGCTTGAGGCAAGGCTGCCCAAACGATGCACTTTACAGAAGAAAATTTGTAGAAAAAGAAAAATTGAAAAATTCAGAAAAGGAGTAAGTAATTGTAGTTGGAGTTATCAATCACAAGATCAAAAATTTGCCTTCTCAATGCTCATACCGTCAATCCTTATAATCAGCAGCTTCTAACCTGAAACACATTACTTTACAATTTCAATCGAAATAATTCATTTTTATGTATAATGATTTTCTCAAAACTTCTAATTTCTAAGGATTCTATAAAATATCCTGCTTTTCGTTTATGTCCTGTCTTCTGTCTCAAACTTGACCGTTCACCTCAAATCTCATGCGCAAATCTTACAATCTTCACAATTACTCATAGCTCTCATATTTTTATCATTTCTAGGAAAAAAATTAATTTTCTATCTTTTTAGATGCAAACAACGACTATTTATCTATTATTTGTAACGCTTCTAACCTATGCAAAAGATGCAAGTAACGCTCCAACTATCCCTCCACCAGATTTCATTTATCCTGTGCAGCACGTTCGAGAAACACAAAATGGCTATCTAACCTATAAAGATCGACAACTTGGCTCAGAAGAAGACGATAAACAAAAGAATTGCGTCCCTCGTAAGTGATTTACACACATATCCTTACTTTTCTCCATCCCTTAGCACTAAAAGAACTTATTTAGGTGATTCCCCGGAAGGTAAGGAACTTCTACATTTAATAAACAAACAACTTGCCGAAGCAGCAGAAGGGAACTCGGCTGCAGGCGTTCCCGAAACTCCGGCACCAACGCAAATTCTGGATTCAAGCGCTTTGGATGGCGA